CCAGCTTTATTGAAGTGTTTATATATATACATATTAATTAAATATTTGATGGCTGATTTCCATCTGGAGAATTGTGTGATAACTGTATTTTTTTTAACTTCTATCCCCAACCTTCTTAGTTTTGAATCTTTACTAATGATTAGTGCCTGTAGACCCTACCTGGCTTTTACACAAGTCTCTGTTCTTTGTAGAATATCTTTAACTGTTTTAAGTGGTGGGAAGTGACCATAACAAAATGAGGTAGAGCAGAATTGCATGCGATTGTGGGGAAATGGGAGGGTGGGAAGGAGTAAGTCCATTTTTGCATGGCAGCACACATTGAAAGGAGATCTTAGAGATATTAAGTAGTTTTGTTTTCCAAATCAATGCATTTCTGTAAAGAGTACAATAGTGCTGAACGATTTTTATCTGAATATTAGAATGCAAATAGGTTTTATATTTGCATAGGTAAAGAAATATCTGAATACTCTTGGTTTTATTTGAATCTAGGAATGGAAATTTTGCAGCCTATGAAAGAACAAGTTAAAATGGATACTACTGTAACTTACGTACAGGTGATATTTTCTTAGCAAACAGTTACCTGACACCTTGAGGAAGAAAGAAAAGGAGAAAAAATGAAAAGTTGTTTAACTTAGAATGTGATAGGAGCCTGTAAGTTATAAAGAGTTGGTTAAATATTATTGAGCAAGATTTTGCTTTTTTTAAGCACTTAAGAGGGAACTAATTTAGGGGAGGCTATTGTTTCTTTCATAAAAATTGAGTTTATTATATCTGTAGTGTAAATTACTTTCTACTCATTTCTTTCACTTATATAAAAAATGTTTTTGAATCTTCCACAAGATTATTATGGATTTCAAGTACAAATATGGATTTCTTCTTGAGTACTGTATCTGCTTCTGAGAGAGTTAGAAAAGAATATGTACAAATACCAGTGTCAAAAGTCCACTATGATGAATTTTGTCATTATTTAGCTTGTAATAATAGGTTATAGTTTTTTTGTTGTTGTTTGTTTGTTTGTTTGTTTTTTTGAGACAGAGTCTCGCTCTGTCGCCCAGGCTGGAGTGCAGTGGCTGGATCTCAGCTCACTGCAAGCTCCGCCTACCGGGTTCACGCCATTCTCCTGTCTCAGCCTCTGGAGTAGCTGGGACTACAGGCGCCCGCCATCTTGCCCGGCTAGTTTTTTGTATTTTTAGTAGAGACGGGGTTTCACCGTGGTCTCGATCTCCTGACCTTGTGATCCGCCCGCCTCGGCCTCCCAAAGTGCTGGGATTACAGGCGTGAGCCACCGCGCCCAGCTAGGTTATAGTTTTGAAGTTTCGGCATCATGGAAGATAATGGACAAAAAATTTCAACTGAGCTCAGCATTTCTGTATGTATTTACTTTTTTCTGTTGATTTACTTGGAAAAACCTTAAATGTTTGTTTTTTACCCTAATACTTGTCTCTGACCAGTGTATAATGTGACATATTTGCATAGCACTTTGTAACTTGTGTGTTTTCATATATACTCTCTTGTGTCATTAACCTCTAGTAGACTGATATTGTTACTAAGGGAGTAGAGTGTAAAATGTAGAGTAAAATGTAAATAGAGCTTACTCTAAAAATCATAACTTAGGAATTTAGCCCTTGTTTTTATAATAGAAGGAAAATTGACTTGTAGAATATCTAAGATACTAGGTAGTCTAAAATGTATATGAATTTTATTTTATTATTTATTTATTTATTTATTTATTTATTTATTTATTTATTTTTGAGACAGAGTCTTGCTGTGTTGCCCAGGCTGGAGTGTAGTGGTGGGATTTTGGCTCACTGCAACCTCTGCCTCCTGGGTTCAAGAAATTCTTGTGGCCTCAGCTTCCTGAGTAGCTGGGATTACAGGTGTGTGCCACCATGCCTGGCTAATTTTTGTATTTTTAGTAGAGACGGGTTTTCGCCATGTTGACCAGGCTTGGCTCGAACTCCTGGCCTCAAGTGATCTGCTCACCTCAGCCTCCCAAAGTGCTGGCATTACAGACATGAGCCACTACACCCAGCCTGTATATGAATTTTAGTACTGTTTTAAAACATTGACTAAACATTTAGTTTTTTAGGACTTTTAGTGGCTGGAGACATATCAGCAAAATACAGATACTGTCTCAGAATGATAAGCTTTATACACAGACTGAAAAAGTATACAGACTATACATTGGTGAGCCACTGGAAGTAAGTCTGTAGTAATACTGATTTTAGGATTTACCTACAAGGATGTATTCTTCCCTCCCTCCCTCCCTCCCTCCTCCCTCTTCCCTCCTCCTTCCTTCCTTCCTTCCGTCCGTCCGTCCGTCCGTCCGTCCGTCCGTCTCGCTGTGTTGCCTAGGCTGGAGTGCAGTGGCACAATCTCAGCTCACTGCAACCTCCGCCCCTTGGGTTCAAGCAATTCTCGTGCTTCAACCTCCTGAGTAGCTGGGATTACAGGTGCACACCACTGCACCCAGCTAATTTTTTGTATTTTTAGTAGAGACAGGGTTTCACCATGTTGCCCAGGCTGGTCTTGAACTCCTGAGCTCAGGCAATCCACCCACCTCAGCCTCCCAAAGTGCTGGGATTACAGGTGTGAGCCACCACACCTGGCCTGTATTCTATTTTTGAAAAGATGAATATAAATTATTAGTATATGGTGTTTTGAATATTTTAGAACTCGGTATAGATCTGTAATGCAATTAATGAAGATATAAATAATGTATCAGTATCTCATTAATTTGGGGATGGCGTGGGTAGTAAGTGTGCATTAATGAAGCATATACATTATGTAATGTATGTTTCAAAATATTTAGACTTATAAAGTAACTCATAATTGGCTGATAAAACTTTGTAAAGCAAGGATCTTTGGGAGGTGCTTTAATAAAAATGAAGGTAACTGGCGTATCACATATATTTAAACTATAGATTTTAGTGTGTTTGAAAATCTTCTTCTCTTAAGAGTATAAAATAATTACTGAAAATATCTTTGAACATGAAATAAGCTAATATTTTTTGTATAAAATGCAAAAGTAAATTCTAACCAAGCCATCATCCAAACTCATTAAATCCAAATGAATGGAGTTTAGATGAATGAAATTTTCTTGTATATTTCCCCCCAAGAGGTGAGAAGAGATTTAAAAATAATGAAACTCTACTTTATAAATATCAAACATCCAAAAATTTAGAGGAGAATTAGTAATTAGAAAGCAAGTTCAAGATCTATTATTAGGGTGACAAACAAAACTCTGAAATATTTTTTGTGCACAGGACTGTAAAGGATTTATAGAAGTACTAGCAATGTGATTGCTGTATCAAATCAGTGTGATTGTAATGTCTACACTCATACACAAAGATTATAATTATGTATCATAATAATTATGTAAGTTGATTATTATACGTTATATTTTACTATATAGATATACTCAAAGTTTACAATTTACAAACTTATGTGGAACTTTTAGGAGAAAAAGTTTAAATTAGATTAATAGAATCGTGTGTGTGTGTGTGTGTGTGTGTGTGTGTGTGTGTGTGTGTTTCAGAACTGGAGGGGAGTGGGATGAAGAGAAGTTGGAAAATGGCTACAAAAATACCGTTGGGGGCCAGGCGCGGTGGCTCATGCCTGTAATCCCGCCACTTTGGGAGGCCGAGGCGGGCGGACCACGAGGTCAGGAGATTGGTATCAACCTGACCAACATGGTGAAACCCTGTCTGTACTAAAAATACAAAAAATTAGCCAGGTGTGGTGGCGGGTGCCTGTAATCCCAGCTACTCAGAAGGCGGAGGCAGGAGAATCTCTTGTTTTTCTAATGTTATCTTCTAGAATTTTTACGGTTTCAGATCTTAGATTTAAGTCCTTGATCCACCTTGAGTTGATTTTTGTATAAGGTGAGAGAGGAGGATCAGTTTCATTTTTCTACATGTGGCTTGCCAGTTATCCCAGCACCATTCGTTGAATAGGGTGTCCTTTCCCCACTCTATGTTTATGTTTGCTTTGTTGAAGATCAGTTGGCTGTAAGTATTTGGCTTTATTTCTGGGTTCTCTATTCTGTTCCATTGGTCTATGTGCCTATTTTTGTAACAGTACCATGCTGTTTTAGTGACTATGGCCTTATAGTATAATTTGAAGTCAGGTAATGTGATACCTGACTTCACAGATTTGTTCTTTTTGCTTAGTCTTGCTTTGGCTATGCAGGTTCTTTTTTGGTTCCATATGAATTTTAGGATTGTTTTCTAGTTCTGTGAAGAATGATGCTGGCATTTTGATGGGAATTGCATTTAATTTGTAGATTGCTTTTGGCAGTATGGTCATTTTCACAATATTGATTCTACCCATCCATGAGTGTGGGATGTATTTCCATTTATATGTGTCATGTATGATTTCTTTCAGCAGTGTTTTGTAGTTTTCCTTGTAGAGGTCTTTCACCTCCTGGGTTAGGTATATTCCTAAGTATTTTATTTTATTGGTTTGCAGCTATTATAAAAGGGATTGAGTTGTTTATCTGATTCTCTGCTTGGTCACTGTTGGTGTATAGCAGAGCTACAGATTTGTATGCATTACTTTTGTATCCTGAAACTTTGCTGAATTCATTTATCAGTTTTTTGGATGAGTCTTTAGGATTTTCTAAGTATATAATCATATTATCAGCAAACAGCCACAGTTTGACTTCCTTTTTATCAATTTGGATGCCTGATTATTTTCATTTTGAGTTTATTCTACTATTAGGCAGAATAGTAAGTTAAATTTTCATTCTTTATAGGTAATCTGTTGCAAATGATCATTTGTTTGCATATATTCTACTTTTCTTTTTTTTTTTTTAAGACAAAGTCTCACTCTGTCACTCAGGCTGGAATGCAGTGGTGCCACCATGGTTCACTGCAGCCTCGACTTCCCGGGCTCAAGCGATCCTCCAACTTCAGCCTCTTGAGTAGCTGGGACTACAGGCATGCACCACCATGCCCAGATAATTTTTGTATTTTTTTAAGAGAGATACGGTTTTGCCATGTTGCATAGGCTGGCCTGTAACTCCTGGGCTCAAGTGATCCGCCTACCCCGGCACCTGGCCATATTCTACTTTTCAACTTTTAAAAACATACATTATAATAAATAGCATTAATAATAACTGTATTATTATGGTGAATGTTTATATTGATGTTTGGAAATGGAAATGCAAAATTTTCAAAGTGTATCCTGGGTTAGAAGCTGACCTTTAAATTTTATTTTATTTTATTTTTTGTATTTTTTGAGACAGGGCTTCTCTTTGTTACTCAGGCTGGAGTGCAGTGGTACACGATCTTGGCTCACTGCAGCTTTGACTTCCCGAACTCAAGGGATCCTTACTCCTCAGACCTCAATAGCTGGGACCACATGCACAGGCCACCACGCCCAGCTAATTTTTGTATTTTTTGTAGAGACAAGTTTTCACCATTTTGACCAGACTGATTTCTAACTCTGGAGTCAAGTGATCTGCACACCTGGGCCTCCCAAAGTGCTGGGTTTACAAGCCTGAGCCACCACACCTGGTCTCAATTTTCAACTTGAAAAGAAGTTAGAGCATTGCTGTTATAATAGGGACATTATGGTCTTGTTTGCACAGAATAAACAAAAGACTTCCTTGAACAGATATGAAATCATTGTTTGACATTTTCCGGGAGAATTAGATGCCTCTGCTAAATGTAAGTTGCTGGAAACTTATTCTCTTCCATATAGAGGTAAAGGCACCAGAATGTCCTGGAATTTTACAATAGCATGTAGTGGGAGCCAGGGAGCCTGATATAAGCTATCTGGTGTCTCCAGTTACTAGTAGTGACCTTGAATAAATCATCTACTTCTTTATTCACTATTTTCTTCATTTTAAAGTGAAGAAATTGTGTTAGATTATTTCTAAAACATATTACACCTCTAAAATGCTATAATTTTATATCACATTGGACAAAATTGAGATAGATGATTAAGAAGTCTATGTATTCTTTCCTCTAAGCTTGATCCTTTCTTTGTAAGAGATATATTATTCGATTTTTGTCTCTGAAAGTGAAATTAAATGCTTAAGATCATTTTTTCCAATAATTATAATCTATATATATTTAATGGTGAATATACATATTTTAACATTAAAAATTTTATTCTTATATTCATGGTGCTGCATTGTTCGTGTTTGGAGCATATTCAGTTGAGGGTAGGAATTGCTGAATTTAGTAAGCTAGACTTAATGCTTTTAGGAATAGATCTCTGTAACTATGGTACTTAGCCTAGTGTAGGTATGAAATAATGACTGTTGAATCTGTTTGAATATATTATATATATTATAATAATTAGGAGTTAAGGGTCATATCTATACCACCATACCTAAACCATGGTAGCTTGGCTGTAGCAACCTGGTAGCTTGATAGCTTGGGTTGTGAGAGCTCTAAAGAGATATACTATAAACAGGGTTCACATTTGAAAAAATTTAGGTAGAAGTTGGACTCATGGAAAAGATAGAGGTGGGGTGAAGAATAGACTAACAGAATGTCCTTAGAATTAATTCAAAGAAATCTGATTTAGAGCCAAAGTTGTGAAGAAAGCCTGGTGAGGAATGCTATTATTTGGTATATCCTCAATCTTTAATTTTTTAAAATCAACTTGATTGAGTTGTAATTTACATACAGTAAACGTACCCATTGAATAAAATGAACCACTGTACTCGTGAATTGTAGATTTAAAAAAAAAAAAATCTACAATTCAGTGAATTCTGATAAATTCAATCTCATAACCACCACACAGTATTTCTACCACTACCAAAAATTCTTTGCTGTCTCTTTGCAGTCAACCCTCAACCCCAGCCCCTGTCTATAGGTAACCATAAATTTGCATCTGTCAGTGTAGTTTAATTTTGCCTTTTCTAGAATTTTATATAAATGGAAAGATAAAGTATGCAGTATACTGTTTTGTTTAAATTTTTTGACTTAGTATGTTTTTTACTTTTTGGGGGTGCTTTAGTGTGGCAGTATTTTATTCCTTTTTATAGCTGAGCATTATTCCATTGTATGGATATACCACATAGGATCATTTATTCAAATATCGATGGGCATTTGGAATATTTAATTTCTGATGTTACAAATAAAGCTCCTGTAAATATTCATGTACAAATATTGTTGTGAACATGCATTTGCAAATTTCTTGGGTACATCTAAGAGTGGAATTGCCAGGTCATATGAAAAGATTATGTTATCGTTTTCTTCCTTCTCTTCCTTCCCTTGCTTTTGTCCCTCCCCTCCTCTCCTCTTCCCTTCCCTCTCCTACCCCCTTCTCCCTTTCCCTCCCTTCCCCTCCTTCCCTTTCTTCCCTTCCTTTCCTACCTTCCCTTTCTTACCTCTCTTTCTCCCCTTGGTTTCCTCTCCCCTCTGCTTCCCCTCCTCTCCCCTCCCCTTCTGTCCTCTCTCCTATCCTCTTTTTGTTTTTATTTGAGAGGGTCTTGCTCTGTTGCTCAGGCTAGAATACAGCAGTTCAATCGTAGATCACTATAACCTCAAACCTCCTGGGCTCAAACCATCCTCCTGCCTCAGCCTCCTGAGTAGATGGGACTACATGCATGTAGCACCAAACCCAGCTAATTTTTTAATTTTTTTGTAGAGATGGGGTCTCAATATGTTGCCCAGGCTGGTCTCAAACTCTGGCCTTAAGTGATCCTCCAGCCTCAGCCTCCCAAAGTGCTGTTTTCTTTTAATAAGGAATTAATAAACTTTTTCAAAGTGGTTGTACCATTTTACAGTTTTCACTAGCAATGTTGAGGGCTGTTTGCTCTAAATCCCCTTTAATTCTTAGTTGTATCAGTTTTTAAAATTTAGCCAGTCTAATAGGTACATAGTGGTATCTCATTGTGGTCTGAATTTGTATTTCTCTAATGACTGTGATGTTGAACACCTTTTCCTATGCCTATTAGTCACTCATTTGTCTTTATTGATAAAATATCTTTCTTTTTTTTTTTTTTTTTTGTGATGGAGTGTTACTCTTGTTGCTCACACTGGAGTACAATGGCACAGTCTTGGCTCCCTGCAGCCGCCATCTCCCGGGTTCAAGCGATTCTCCTGCCTCAGCCTCCTGAGTAGTTGGGATTACAGGCACCCGCGAGCATGCCCAGCTAATTTTTGTATTTTTAGTAGAGATGGGATTTCATCATGTTGGCCAGGCTATTCTTGAACTCCTGACCTCAGGTGATCCACCCACCTTGGCCTCCCAAAGTGCTGGGATTACAGGCGTGAGCCACCGCACCCGGCTGGTAAAATATCTTTTGCCTATTTTTAAATTGGATTGTCAGTCTTTGATTTATTGTATTATTAAAGTTCTGTATATATTCTGGATATATTGTCAGATCCATGTATTGAGAATATTTTCTCCCATAATGTAGTTTGCCTTTCATGTTATTTTATAGTATCTTTGGAAGAGCAGTCTGATTTATTATTGTTTTATTTTATTGAGGCAGAGTCTTGCTCTGTCACCCAGGCTGTAGTGTGGTGGCATGAACATGGCTCACTGCAGCCCTGACCTTCTGGGCTCAATTGATCCTCCTGCCTCAGCTTCTTGCATGCTGGGACCACAGGTGCATGCCACCATGCCTAGCTAATTTTTTGTAGAACTGGGGTTTCACTTTGTTGTCCAGGCTGGTCTTGAACTTCTGGGCTCAAGTGATGCTTCTGCCTCAGCCTCTCAAAGTGCTGGGATCACAGGTGTAAGCCACTGCACCTGGCCCATTTTTTAATTTTAATGCGTCCAATTTATCAATTTTTTTCATTTATGGTTTGTGCTTTTTGTATCCTAAGAACTCTTGGCCTGTCTCTACATGATTACAGTTTTTTTCCTATGCTTTCTTATTGAATATTTATAGTTTCAGCTTTTGTAATGGCTATATGATCCATTTCTAGTTAATATTTGGTATGAGAAAGTTAGGGGTAGAGAGCTATTTTTTAAAAAATGCATATATCTGGTGGGGCACAGTGGCTCACGCCTGTAATCCCAGCACTTTGGGAGACTGAGGCAGGCAGATCATGAGGTCAGGAGATCGAGAGACCATCCTGGCCAACATGGTGAAACCCCGTCTCTACTAAAAATACAAAAATTAGCTGGGCATGGTGGTGTGTGCTTGTAATCCCAGCTACTTGGGAGGCTGAGACAAGAGATTTGCCTGAACCAGGGAGTCAGAGGTTTCAGTGACCTGAGATCGTACCACTGCACTCCGGCCTGGTGATAGAGCAAGACTCCGTCTCAAAAATAAATAAATAAATAAAAATAAATAAATAAAAATACATATATCTCATTATTCCAGTCCAGAACTATTTGTTGAAAAGACTGTCCCTTATTTTTGTACCATTGTCAAATATTGTTTGACAATATTTATGTGTGGTTTAATAGACTGAATATTTGTGCTCTTCCCTCTGTCCCCTGCCTCCCCAAATTCACATGTTGAAATCCTAACTCTCAGTATGATGGTGTTAAGAAGTAAGGCCTATGGGAGGTAATTAGGTCATGAAAGTGGAGCCCTCATGAATGAGATTAGTGCCTTTATAAAAAGAGACCGCCGAGAACTCTCTATTTTCTGCCATGTGAGGATACAATGAGAAGACAGACATCTGTGAACCCAGAAGAGAGGCCTCACTAGAACCCAGTGATGCCAGCACTCTGATCTTGGACTTCCAGCCTGCAGAACTGTGAGAAATAAATTGCTGTGTTTATAAGCCACCCAGTCTATGATACTTTGTTATAGCAGCCTAAGCTCATGAGACATATGGATCTAAATCTGGACTATATTCTGTTCCATTGATCTATGCTTCTGTCCTCATGCCAATACCAGATTTTGTTTTTTTGTTTTGAGACGGTGTCTCGCTCTTTTGCCCAGGCAGGAGTGCAGTGGCGCAATCTCAGCTCACTGCAACCTCCGCCTCCCGGGTTCAATCAATTCTCCTGCCTCAGCTTCCCGAGTAGCTGGGATTACAGGCGCCTGCCACCATGCCCGGCTGATTTTTTGTATTTTTAGTAGAGACGAGCTTTCATTATGTTGGCCAGGCTGGTCTCGAACTCCTGACCTCGTGATCTGCCTGCCTTGGCCTCCCAAAGTGCTGGGATTACAGGCGTGAGCCACCACGCGCAGCCACCAGTTTTGATTACTATAGTTTTATAGTAAGTCTGAAAGTTTGGTAGCTTAAGGCTTTCAGTTTTGTTTTTCTTTTTCAAAATTGTTTTGGTAGTCTAGGTCCTTTGTATTTCCATATGATTTTAAAATAAGCTTGCTTGGTTTTTGTTTGTTTGTTTACCAAAAAAGTCTACAGAGATTTTGTTCAGAATTGAATTGAATCTTCAGTTAAATCTATGACAAAGGATGTGATCTTCACTAGGAAAGCAGTCAGGTATTACACACTCTGCATTGTCCTTCCTTGAATTCAAGTAAGATCTGGTAGATTTCTTTTTTTTTTTTCTGAGATGGAGTCTTGCTCTGCCGCCAGGCTGGAGTGCAGTGGCGTGATCTCGGCTCACTGCAACCTCCACCTCCCAAGTTCAAGCTATTCTCCTGCCTCAGCCTCCCGAGCAACTGGGACTGCAGTTACAGCTGCATGCCACCATGCCTAGCTAATTTTTGTATTTTTAGTAGACACGAGATTTCACCATGTTGGCCAGGATTGTCTTGATCTCTTGACCTCATGATCCGCCTGCCTCAGCCTCCCAAAGTGCTGGGATTACAGGTGTGAGCCACTGCACTCGGCCAGGTAGATCATTTTTATGTCTACCACGGTAATGGTGGTTGATAGTATTCAGATTTTCTGTATTCTTACTGGGTTTTCTTTTTTGTTGTTATTTTATTAATTACTGAGAAAAGTAGGGTAAAAATCTTTAATTATGACTGCATTTACCTGTTTTCCCCTTTAGTTATGTTAGTTTTTGTGTTATGTCTTTTGAAGGTATGTTATTAGGCACATATATATTTAAAATGATTATATTTTTCTAATGTATTGACCGTTTTATCATGATGAAATGTCCTTCTTTGATTCCAAAAATAAATCTTATGTAACCCATTTTGGCTGATATTAATAAAGTTTCTTTAATTTTTTTAGTTATTTTTTTCTTGATGTGTCTTTTTTTGTCCTTTTACTTTTTAACCTATATATGTCTTAATATTAAAAGTGAGTCTCCAGGAGTAATACTGAATTGCTTTAGGGAAAATATAGGGATTTTGAATTAGTATCATTGGGGGAAGCTGGGTGAAGGGTACATGTGAACTCTTGTACTATTTTTTAAACTATATGAGTCTAAAATTATTTTAAGTCTTCATAATTGCTTGTTGCATTTTTAAGATAGCTTGCTTGAAATTCTTTTCTGACCATTGCAACAACTGTGTCATCTCCGCATTGCTGTCTGTTGGTTGTCCTTACTCATGCAAGCTGAGACCTTTTTTCTTTGTTGGTATAATAAATATACTTACTTTGGATTGTTTCCTGAACTTTTTGCATATTATATTGTGAGACTCTTTCCTATTTAAATCTTCTATGTTAATGGACAGCCACTGGGGAGGGAGGAAAAGTACTGCTTCCTTGCAAACATTTACCTTCTATAGGGCAGCAATGGTCAGCAGGGCTCTGTCCCACAGTTTCTGTGGCTGTAACCCCTAGTGGGAGGGGGAAGGGCCACCACCTCTGCTCTCATTGGTTCAAGATGAGGATGGTCAGTTAAGTTCTTTCTTGCTGATTACACAGTAACCAGTTGAAAAGATTTTGTTCTGAAAGACTCTTGTCTTCTCAGGCCTTTGGTTAGAGAAAGTATGTTTTTCTTGGGACTTTTGTTGTTGTTGTTGTTCTATGCCTTTGAGCAGTTTCAGGTTGTGGGCTGCTGAAGCACCCAAAGTAGGTTACATCTGTAGCAAAAAAAATCTCTAGAGAATTCACTGCTGAGTCATCCCTCAAGATCTGATGTCTCTGGCCAATTTACCTTATTTTCTTCACCTTTCAGAGTCAGTAGTTGCTTTTTGTTTCCAATTCAAGGTTTTTGATTGCAATTAGCAGAAAGAATAAGGTGGAGTGTGCTTATTCCATCTTGTCTGGGACAAGAAGTCTCTTGGTTTGTTTTTTTTTTCTTTTTTTTATTTATTCCTTTTGGTGGCAGGTGGAGGAGAGACCTGCAGGCCCTCTCCCTTCTCCCTCTTGGTGTTTTTTAATACACTAGTTTTCATATGTTATCTTATTTATTTGCCCTGTTTTGTTTTTCAGGCAAATGAAGATAAAACAATGTCCGCCAACCTAAAATACCTTTCCCTGGGAATTTTGGTCTTTCAGACTACCAGTTTGGTTCTAACAATGCGTTATTCTAGAACTTTAAAAGAAGAAGGACCTCGTTATCTATCTTCAACAGCAGTGGTTGTTGCTGAACTTTTGAAGATAATGGCCTGCATTTTATTAGTCTACAAAGACAGCAGTAGGTATCTAGGTTTTTTGTTTTTAATCAATGCAGTTTATTTAGTTTACATATATATATTGGTAACTACACATTTGCACTCTTGCATTGTGGAATGGCCTAGTATGAAGAACATTTCAATATTTTAAAATTTTTCTTAAGACATTTTAAGTCTAGTAATAAAACCATTTTATTTTAATCTATATCATAATTCATATCTTCTGGTTAATTCTATAAATATAAAATAGTTTTTTGCATTTATAATAATTTGAGAGTAAGAGTAAGTTTTATAAATCTGTTACTGTTAGAACTTTAGAAGAATCATAATTTTTTTACTAATGTAAACAACTATTTTATTTGCTTTATTGATTAGTCCAGCAGTGACTAATTTTATGTAGTTTTTAAAAACAGTTCTATTGAGATAATTCATGAGCCATGTAATTTATGTGTTTAAAGTATATTATTTAATGGTTTTTTGGTATATTTCAATTCTGATTTTTTAAACCTGTGGTAAAGTATATACATATAACATAAAATTTGCCATCTTAACTATTTGTAGTGTACACTTCATTGTCATTACTTTTACAATGTTGTGCAACAATGACCACTATCCATTTCTAAAATGTTTTTAGCACTTTAAACAAAAACTTTGTAACTGTTAAGTAATAATCCCCATTCTCCTTTACTCACAGCCCTTAGTAACCTCTCATTCACTTTCTGGCTCTATGAATTTGCCTATTTTAAGTATTTCATGTAAGTAGAATCATACATTTGTCCTTTTAGGTCTGGCACTTAGCAAAATGTTTTCAAGATTTATTCATGTTTTAACATGTATCAGAAATGTATTCCTTTTTATGGCTGAATAACATTCTATTGTATGGACATAGCACATTTTGTTTATTCATCCATGTGTTGATGGACACTTAGGTTGTTTACACCTTTTGGCTATTGTGAATAATACTGAAAAAAACTGAGTAATGCTTCGGTAGATATACAAGGATCTGTTTGAGTCCCTGTTTCCATTCCTTTGGGTATGCATTTAGGAGTGGAATTGCTGGGTCATATGGTAATTCTATATTTAACTTTTTAAGGAATCATCAAACTGTTTTTCACAGCAACTGGACCATTTTACATCTCCACCAGCAAAGTACAAGGGTTCCTGTTTCTTCACATCTTCACCAGCACTTAATATTTTGTTGTTGTTTTTTTAAATAGCCATTCTAATAGTTGTAAAGTATTACCTCACTGTGGTTTTGACTTGTGTTTCTCTAATAACTAATGATGATGAATTTTTATGTGTTTTTTTTTTTTTTGGCTTTTTGTGTCCATCCTCCCTCCCTCCCTCCCTCCCTCCCTTCCTTTCTTTCTTTTTGACTGAGTCTCACCATGTCGCCTAGGCTGGAGTACAATGGCACGATCTTGGCTCACTGTAACCTCCACCTTCCAGGTTCAAGTGATTCTCATGCCTCAGCCTCCCGAGTAGCTGTGATTACAGGAGCGTGCTACCAAACCTTGCTACTTTTTGTATTTTTAGTAGAGACAGGATTTCACCAGGTTGGCCAGGCTGGTCTCGAACTCCTGACCTCAGGTGATCCGCCTACCTCGGCCTCCCATAGTGCTGGGATTATAGGCATGAGCCACCACACCTGGTCCTTTTTGTGTATTTTCTTTCAAACTACATCTGACATGACTTGTTAAAAGATTGAATATGTGAAAGTCAGAAGAAAGGAGGGATCCAGTTTGAGGAATAATTGCTAGGTTTTTAGATTAAACTATCGGGTGAATGGGTGCTGCAATTAATGATATATAGAAATAGGTTTGGGGGAAAATTAAAGCTGCTTTTTGCATCATATTAAGTTTCAGACAGCTATAAGCATTCCCATTGAGATGTCAAATAGTAGAGTCTATGCATATGGAACTCAAGAATTTGTCAGTTTACATTTTGCTTTGAAGCCAAGGATTGAATGAGATCACCTAGTGTATACTAGAAGAAGAGAAGGCCAAAGACTGAGCTCTGTTGCATTCCCAATATTTAGAGGTCAGATTCCACAGGAGGAATCAGCAAATGAAGATTGAAGGAAAATAAAAAGATAAATGGAAACGTAATAGCCAAGCTGAGATAGTAGTGTTTTTGCTGCTAAGGTATAGATGAGCAGAAGTATTCACTGCATTTAACATTGTGGAGCCAAAGATATCTTTGACACAAACAGTTGCATTGTAGAAAGACGTGGTGAAAATGTGGTAAAACCAACTTTCAGTGAACCAAAGCATCTATAGACACACCATACAGAAAAATAGATTCCAGGTGAATTAAAGATTGACATTTAAAAAGCAAAACTTTATGACCTTACTATTGTGAATGATTTCAAACAACATACAAAAGGTACAAATAAGACATAAAAGAAAACATAGATAATTTAGGGTATATTAAATTGAAAAACATCTGTAAATCAAATCAAGTAAGAAGACAAGTCACAAATTCAGAGAAGATATTTATATCACTTGTAACCACCAATAATTAATATGCAGAATTACAATTACTCAGACAACTCAATCACAGTTAATAGAAACTTAATAGAAAAGGGGGCAAAGGATACATACAGGTAATTCACAGAAGAAGAAACCTGCATGGCAGATACATATATAAAAAGATGCTCAACTTCACTAGCAATCAAGGAAATCAGATTAAAACCACAGGACACAATTTTACTGCCCTCAAATTGGCAAAAATAGAAAGTCTTAATACCAGGAATTGGTGATTATTTAAAAATTGAATTTAAAAAATTAAACAATAATCAGGTTCGGTGCACACCTATAGTCCCAGTTACTTGGGAGGCTGAGGCAGGAGGGTTGCTTAAGATTGGGAGTTGAGATCTAGCCTGGGTAACATAGCAAGACCCCCATTTCAAAAAATAAAATAACATAAAATTAAGGTAATATTTTAGTTTTCTGGCAAAACTAAGAAAAAAACTTTTTGGTAACTTTTATCTTAGTTAAGAATTGTTCAATTATTATTTTCGGGTGAGGAGAGGGTGAGTACCACGTAGTAATTTTAAAGTTTTTTTTTATTTCAAAAAACTTTTCATAATTAAACTATTCCTATTTTATATTGAGAGAAAAATTTGTCTAAAGTGTCATTATTGGTAAATAATTCTAGGGTTCCTTAGAATTTCTCATTTTTTTGAGGAGTTTATGTATGTATCTCTAAAAGATCTTTGGCCATTTTTCATGACTGATACCATAAAATTGGCCAGTTCAAAGTTCATTTTCAATCCCTTTCTCCCTTTCTTGGCTCTAATGTGGAGGAAATAAAGGAAATGACTTCCCGGCTTCCTTGCAGCTATGGATAGTTATGCAACACAATTCTGTTCAATGACAACCAAGAGGATACCTGCTAAGCTGCTGTTTCCTCTCCTTTTTTTTTTGCTGCCTGAAACAAGAACTAGAGATGCAGCAGTACTTTGATGACTTTGTTGCAATAATCATGTATACAACAGATGAAAAGCATGAAGATTAAAAAGCCAAAATATATACAGTTATATATGTTTTATATATAGTTTTTTATATATACACACATATATTTATGTGTGTGTGTATATATATATAGATCTTAGAATAGTGCTTAGCTGATATTATCACATACCAGGAACATTTTGGTTTCCAAAAATTGGACATATATTAAGATCTTTTATATATATATATAAACCATCCAGGAATTTTTTTATCAAGGTTATATCACAGAAATTTTTAAAGCCTGTTATTCTACTCTAATGCAGTTATTTTGTTTTTCTGCTGTGCCTTTTTTGTAAGTGTACCTCTCTTGGACATTATTTTAATAATTTGCCATATGAAGAGACACAGGCTTAATTTGTAGCAGCCTTGTAGTAACAAGAAAGAGATAATCCTGCTCTCTCTTGGATAATCCACCTGAACCTAGAATATTCATTTCAGCCTGTTTATCGCCAGAATGAGCTGCAGTGGTTAGAGGATTTCCAACGCAGATACTGGAAGGTCTTTAAAAGATAATGCTGTATGAGAGATTCATGGAACCAAGAAAGAGTTGGTTCCTCATAACTCCGAAATCCTCTGGCCCCAGCTTTCTCTTTTTTTCCTCTCCTGGTTGGTGGCACCTAGACCCGTTAGTGGCACCACGTTGAATTTTCTTCAGTCTCAATGTCGCAGTCAGGGTGGGAGAAGTGGAAGAACAAGCCTTCTTCCAGACCACTGGTTGGCAGCCTGTGCTAGAGCTCATCTGGTTTGTTTTCAAGCCAGTGACAGTCACTTTTTTTTTTTTTTTTTTGAGATGGGGATCTTGTTCTTTTGCTCAGGCTGAAGTGCAGTTATGCAATCATAGCTTGCTGCTACTTCAAATTCCTGGGCTCAATTGATCCTCCTGCCTCAGCCTCCTGGATAGCTGGGACTACAGGTGCATGCCACAACACCCAGCTAATTAAAAACTTTTTTTATTTTTTATTTTTTTTATTTTAAGAGACAGGGTCTCATTATGTTGATCAAGCTGGTCTTGAACTCCTGGCCTCAAGCAATCCTGTCACTTTGACCTCCCAAGACGCTGGCTAATTACAGACATGAGCCACTGTGCCCAGCCTGACTGACAGTCACTTTTAGGAGTGGGTTCATTTGCTTCCAGGATCCACCTTCCCAATTTTCTTAGAGTCCTTTGTCCACCCCAGGGACTTTTCCCCTCCTTTCACAGCTAGGCACTGTGGCACCCTTTGCAACTTGCTTGGTGCAGGGTTGCCACAAACTTTCAATTTGGAAGAAAATGCAATATTTGAAAAGTGTAATAAAATGAAGCATAATTAAACGAGGTATGCTTACAGAGAGTACACCTGGGTCCCTGAGTCTCTATAAAAGCTTTGGATCTGGACTCATCCTATGTGAGACAAATCCCTATGGGTTGAACTAGTGTTAGTTGGGTTTTCTGTTGTTTGCAACCAAACCCGTTCCCTAACTGATTTACCTTCTTTTTATGAATAAAATCTTCACAATTACTAATTGGCATGAATGGCTGGTGATAAACAAAATGCAAAAAATACAAGTTTTTATAACATTGCTATAATAAACTAAGAATGCTTGGTTGACAAATTAAAACTTTGAGCTTTTGGCTGTCAGAAATAAGTGTTTGTGTTTGTATATTATATATATGTAGATATATATAAGATAAATTTGATTATATATCAGAATAAAAGAATATGAGGTTTCTTAATACATTATAATATTTAACATTTAAAAAATCAGCATCATAAAGATCTATTTTAGTCCTAAAAGAATCTTGACATGTAGCTCAATTTTCTTTTTCTATAGGTGAGAAAATTGAGATCTTGAGAGCACATATGTAACTTATTCAGAGTTACTTAATTACTGATTTTTCTCATATTATTTTCTAGAATGTAGTCTAAGAGCACTGAATCGAGTACTACATGATGAAATTCTTAATAAACCTATGGAAACACTTAAACTTGCTATTCCATCAGGGATCTATACTCTTCAGAATAATTTACTGTATGTGGCACTATCAAATCTAGATGCAGCTACTTATCAGGTACTTAAAATACATTTCTTTCTTTTTTAAAAAAACTTTTTTTCTTATACATAATAATTGTATATATTTATGGGGTACATGTGATATTTTGATACATGCATCCAACGTGTAATGATCAAATCAGGGTATTTAGGATATTCATCTCCGCAAACATTTATCATTTCTTTGTGTTGGGAACATTTCAGATCTTCTCTTCTAGTTATTTTGAAATTTTGAGTAAATTATTGTTAACCGTAGTCACCTTCCTATGCTAACACTAGAACTTATTCCTTCTATCTAACTCAATTTTTGTACCCATTAACCAATCTCTCTTTATTCCTCCCCCTGCCCTTGTTTCTTTCCCATCCTCTGGTAGCTATCATTCTACTCTCTACCTCCATGAGACCTTCCCATTTTTTTTTTCCTTTTTTCCCTTTTTTTTTAGCTTCCACATGTGAGTGAAAATATGATATTTGTCTTTCTGTGCCTGGGTTGTTTCACTTAACATAATGACCTCCAGTTGCATCCTTGTTGTTGCAAATGACAGGATCTCATTCTTGTTATATCTGAATAGTATTTCTTTATGCATTTATCCATTGATGGACACTTAGGTTGAGTTCATGTCTTAGCTATTGTGAACAATGCTGCAATAAATATAGGACTAGAGATATCCCTTTGATATATTGATTTCCTTTCCTTTGGATAAATACCCAGTAGTGGGATTGCTGGATTGTCTGGTAGTTCTATTTTAAGTTTTTTGAGAATGCTTTGTACTGTTTTCCATAGAGGCTGTACTAATTTACATTCTCAGCAGCAGTGTACAAGAGCTCCTTTTTCTCCACATACTCACCAGCACTGGTTATTTTTTGTCTTTTTGATAATAGTTATTCTAACAAGGGGTAGGATGCTATGTCGCTGTGGTCTTGATTTGCATTTCCCTGATGACTAGTGATGTTGAGCATTTTTTCATATACCTGTTGGCTACTTGTATGTCTTCTTTTGAGAAATGATTATTGAGGTCCTTTGCTCACTTTTTAATGGGATTATTTGTTCTTATGCTCTGGAGTTCTTTATATATTATGGATATTAGTTTCTTGTCAGATGATTAGTGCAAATATTTTCTCCCATTCTACAGATTGTCTCTTTATTGTTTTCTTTGCTTTGCAGAAGTTTTTTAGTTTAATATAGTTCCATTATTCTATTTTTGTTTTTATTGCCTGTGCTTTTTTTCTTATGTATTGTATATTTTTAAAAATATGGAACACTTCATGAATTTGTTTGTCATCCTTATGCAGGGGCCATGTTAATCTTCTCTGTATGATTCCAATTTTAGTATATGTGCTGCTGAAGCAAGTTCTGCCTGTGCTTTTGAAATAACAGCCATAAAATCTGCCTTGACCAATGTCCTGAAACATTTCTCCTCTGTTTCTTCTAATAGTCATTTTATAGTTTTCAGTCTTATGTTTAAGTCTTTAATTCATTTTAAGTTTTTTTTTTAATATGGTGAGAGATGGGATCTAGTGTTCTTTTTCTTCATATTCATATCCAATTTTCTCAGTGTCATTTATTGAAGAGGATGTCCTTTTTCTGTTGTATGCTCCTGGCACCTTCATCAAAAATCAGTTGGCTGTAAACTTGTAAATGTATTTCGGGATTCTCTATTTTGTTCCATTGGTCTTTGTACCTGTTATTAAACAAATTCCGTAGTCTTGTATACTATAGCCTTGTAGTATATTTTGAAGTCATAGTGTGATGCCTCTAGCTTTGTTCTTTTTGCTCAGGGTTGCTTTGGCTATTATTCAGGGTCTTTGTGGTTCCATGTGAATTTTAGGATTGTTTTTTTCTGTTTCTTTGAAGAGTGTCATTGGTATTTTTATGGGGATTGTCCTGAATCCATAGATCGTTTTTGGTAATACAGTGATTTTAACAATATTCTTTTAATCCACAAGCATGGGATATCTTCCCATTTGTGTCCTCTTCCATTTCTTTCATCTGTGTTTTGTAGTTTTTCTTGTAGAGATCTTTTACTTCTTTGGTTAAATTTATTCCTAGAATTTTTTTTTTTTTTTGTAGCTATTGGAAATAAGATTGCTTTCTTTATTTCTTTTTCAGTTAGCTTGTTATTGGTTTATAGAAATGCTACTGATTTTCGTATGTTGATTTTGTATCCTGCAACTTTACTGAATTTGTTTATCAGCTCTTTAAGAGTTTTTTAATGGAATCTTTAGGGTCCTCTGTATATAAGATCATGTCATTTGCAAAGAGGGACAATTAGACTTCCTCTTTTCCAGTTTGGATGCCTTTTATTTCTCTCTTTTGCCCTATTTTGTTCCAGTTTTTAAAGGAAAGCCTTCCAGCTTTTCCCCATTCAGTATGATATTAGTTGTGTGTTTGTCATATATGGCCTTTATTATGTTGAGATATGTTCCTAGGAATATTTTAAATTTTATCAAATGCTTTTTCTGCATCTAGTGAGATGATCATAAGGTTTTTATTCTTTATTCTGTTGATATGATGTATTACATTTATTGATTTTGCATATATGTTAAACCATCTTTGCATCCTTGGGATAAATCCTACTTGATTGTGGTAAACAATCTTTTTTATGTGCTCTTGGAATCGATTTGCTAGTATTAATATTTAGTTCAGGATTTTTGGGTTCTGTATTGTTCTATTCAGGAATATTTAACTGTAGTTTTCTTTTTTGTTGCGTGCTTGTCTGGTTGTGGTATCAGGGTAATGCTGGCCTCACAGGATGAGTTAGGAAGAATTCCCTTCATTTGATTTTTTTGGAATACTTTGAGGAGAATTGGTGTTAGTTCTTCTTTATAAGGTCAGTAGTAGAATTCAGAAGTGGAGTTGTCCAGTCCTGGACTTTCCTTTTCTGGGAGGCTTTTTAAGTGCTGATTGAATCTTGTTACTTGTTATTGGTCTGTTTAGGTTTTTAATTTCTTCTTTGTTCAATCTTGGTAGGTTGTATCAGTCTCGGAATCGATCCATGTCTTGTAGGTTTTTCAGTTTGCTAGTATGTAGTTGTTCATAATAGTCTCTAATGATCATTTGTATTTCTGTGGTATCGTCTGTACTGTCTCCTTTTTTGTTTGTAATTTTATTTAGGTCTTCCCTCTTTTTTTCTTGGTTAGTTTGTAGTTTATTGATTTTACTTATTTTTTCACGAAACCAATTTTTCTTTTATTTCATCCTTCGTATTTTTTAGTCTCTATTTCATTTAGTTCTGCCTGATCTTTTGTTGTTGTTGTTTGTTTGAGACAGTCTCACTTTGTTGCCCACACTGGAGTGCCATGGCGCAGTCTTAGCTTACTGCAGCCTCAACCTCCTGGGCTCAAGAAATCCTCCCACCTCAGCCTCCTGAATAGCTGAGAATATAGGTGTGTGCTACCATGCCTGGTTAATTTTTTTTTTTTTTGGTAGAGACAGGTTCTTACTATGTTGCCCAGGTTGGTCTTGAACTTCTGGCCTCAAGTGATCCGCCTGGCCTCCCAAGGTGCTGGGATTATAGCTATGAGCCACCGTGCCTGGCCTGCCCATCTTTATTCTTTCTTTCCTTCTTTTAGTTTTGTGTTTGGTTTGTTCTTGCTTTTCTAGCTTCTCGAGGTACATTAGGTTGTTTATGTGAATCTTTCTAATTTGTTGACATAGGCATTTATTGCTGTAAACTTCCCTTTTGTCACTGCTTTTACTGTATCTCATAGGTTTTGGTATGTTGTGTTCCAATTTATATTTGTTTTTAAGAAATTTTTCTAGACTGGGCACAGTGGCTCATGCCTGTAATCCCAGCACATCAGGAGGCCAAGGCGGGTGGATCACCTGAGGTCAGGAGTTTGAGACCAGCCTGGCCAACATGGTAAAACGCTGTCTCTACTAAAAATACAAAAAGTAGCCAGGCATGGTGGCAGGTACCTGCAATCCCAGCTACTCAGGAGGCTGAGGTAGGAGAATTGCTTGAACCCAGGAGGTGGAGCTTGCCATGAGCTGAGATCATGCCATTGCACTCAATGGCGTGGGCAACAACATTGAAACTCCATCTGAAAAAAAAAAAAAGAAAAGGAAAAAAAGAAAATTTTCTGTTTTGATCTGAAAAGATACTTGATATGACTTCAACTTTAAAAAATTTGTTGAGACTTGTGGCCTAATATATATTCTATTCTGGAGAATGCTGCATGTGCTGATGAGAAGCATGTGCATTCTGCAACTGTTAGATGAAGTGTTTTGTGAATATCTGGGAGTTCCGTTAGGTATAAAGTGTAGTTTAAATGCTCTAATATTTTTGTTGTTGATTTTCTTTCTAGATGATGTCTGTGCAATACTGAGAGTGGGGTTGTGAAGTCCCCAGTTGTTACTGTATTGGAGTCTATCTCTCTCCTTAGAGCTACCAATATTCGCTTAATATATCTAGGTGCTGCAGTGTTGGGTGTATATATATTTAGAATTGCTCTACAGTCTTGTTGAATTGATCCCTTTATCATTATATAATTACCTCTTTGTCTGTTTCTACCGTTTTTGACCTAAAGTCTATTTTACATAGGTATAGCTATTTCTGCTCATTTTTTGTTTCTGTTTGCAGGGAATATCTCTCTACCCCTTTATTTTCAGTTTATGTTTGTCTTTACAGGTGAACTGCATTTCTTGTAGGTAGTGTGTAGTTAACTTATGGTTTTTTAAGTCCATTTTGCCAGTCCATATCTTTTATGTGGGAAATTTATTTACATTCACAGTTATTATTGATACATGGAAATTATTCCTGTCATTTTGTCAGTTGTTTTCTGGTTGGTTTTCTGTAGTGTTAATGTTTGACTCCTTTCTCTTTGTCATTTGTGTATCTGGTTTTCCAGTGAGTTTTATACTTTCATGTGTTTTTATCATGGTAGATACTGACTTTGAAGTGCAGGACTCCTGTAAGCACTTTCTTTGTTTGTTTTTGAGACAAGATCTGGCTCTATCACCCAAGCTAGAGTGCAGGGGCACAGTCTCGGCTCACTGCAACTTCTGCTTCCCAGGCTAAAGCCATCTTCCCTCAGCCTCCCAAGTAGCTGGGATTACCGGTACACACCACCATGCCCGGCTAACTTTCGTATTTTTTTAGAGACGAGGTTTCGTCATGTTTCCCAGTCTGGTCTCAAACTTCTGAGCTTAAGAGATCTGCCTGCCTCGGCCTCCCGAAGTGTTGGGATTACAGGCACCTGGTCTAGGCATTTCTTTTTCTTTTTTCTTTTCTTTTCTTTTTTCTTTTTTTTTTTTTTTTGAGACAGAGTCTTGCTCTGTCGCCCAGGCTGGAGTGCAGTGGCACGATCATGGCTCACTGCAAGCTCCTCCTCCAGGTTCACGACATTCTTCTGCCTCAGCCTCGGGAGTAGCTGAGACTACAGGCGCCCGCCACCACGCCCAGCTAATTATTTGTATTTTTAGTAGAGACGGGGTTTCGCCGTGTTAGCCAGGATGGGCTCGATCTCCTGACCTCGTGATCCTCCCGCCTTGGCCTCTCAAAGTGCTGGGATTACAGGCATGAGCCACAGCACCTGGCCAGCATTTCTTATATGGCTGGTTTAGTGGTGATTAATTTCCTCAGTTTTTCCTTATCTAGGAAAGACTTTATCTTTCATTTTATTTTTTAAAATTTATTTACCTGTTTTTTAATTTTAAAAAATTTATTTATATTTATTTTTTATTTTCTAAAAGAGAGCTGTCTTGCTATGCTTCCCAGGTTGGAATGCAGTGGCTGTTCACAGGCACAATTATGGTGCACTGCAGTATCAAACTCCTGGGCTCAACTTGTCCTCCTGCCTCATCCTTCCAGGTAGCTAGACCTCAGTCACACTCTACCATGCCTGGCTTTGCATCCTTTTTTTTTTTTTTTTTTTTTTTTTTTTTTTTTTTGCTCTCTGGTTGCCCAGGCTGGAGTGCGGTGGTATGATCTCGGCTCACTACAACCTCTGCCTCCCAGGTTCAAGCAATTCTCCTGCCTCAGCCTCCTGAGTAACTGAGATTACAGGTGCACACCACCACGCCCTGCTAATTTTTGTATTTTTAGTAGAGACCGGGTTTCATGATGTTGGCCAGGCTGGTCTTGAACTCCTGACCTCAAGTGATCCGCCCACCTCGGCCCCCAGAGTGCTGGGATTACAGGCGTGAGCCACTGTGCCCAACTGGTTTTCCGTTTTTTCATTGTCAGTTTAGTATTCAGTTTTCTTGGTCTTCTAACTTATTTACCACTCATCCAAATGATTTTTAGCTTTCAAAATTTTATGTTTTGTCTCTTCTCTTATTCTCCTTGTCTTTGTTGGTTTCCATTTAAAACAAAAGCCTTTAAAAATTCACCTTTTGGTCAGGTGCAGTGGCTTTCGCCTGTAATCCTAGCACTTTGGGAGGCAGAGGTGGGTGTATCACTTCAGCTCAGGAGTTCAGGACCAGTCTGGGCCCAGCTTGCATTCATTTTTTTAACAATAGTTTCACTGTGTGTGGTATTTTTATCGGGCAGTGTTTTTTTCTTTCAGCATTTTGAATATATCATTTAATTCTCTCCTGGCCTATAATGTTTGTCTTAAAAAATCTGCTGTTAAGACTGTTGGAGATTCCCTTATATGTAACTTGATGCTTGTCTCTTGCTGTTTTTAGGATTCTCTCTTTGTCTTTTGACTTTTGATAGTTTGACTATAATGTACTTCGGTGAAGATCTTTTTGGGTTGACTCTAGTTAGGCTTTTTCATTCTTTTTTCTCTTTTTTTTATGTGACTGGCTTATGAAATTCTTTATTCTGTTTCATCTAGTCTAACACTGAAGCTCTTGATTGGATTTTTTATTTCATTTATTGAATTCTTTAGTTCTGTGATTTTTGTTTAGTTCTTTTTTATGATATCTCTTTGTTGAATATCTCATTTAGATGATGAATTGTTCTCCTATTTTGTTTATATTGTCCGCTTATGTTCTCTTGTATCTCACTAAACTTTCTAGATATCATTATGTTGAATTCTTTTCAGACCTTTCATATTTTCTTTTCATCGGGATGTGTTACTGGAGAATTATTGTGTCCCTTTAGAGGTGTCGTATTTCCTTGCTTTCTCATGTTTCTTGTGTCTTTACATTGATATCTTTGCATCTGGTATAACAGTAACTTCTTCCAGTTTTGTAGATAGCTTTCATAGGGAAAGACATTTTCCTACAGATATATGCATAACGTTGGTTGGGTAGGGTGCTTTGGCTTTGATCCTGGGTGTGTGCAATAATATGTAGTCTCTATATGATTTCTTTGGCTATAATCAATGTCAGTGGGGTCTGTCTGGTTCCTCAGTGGCTTCAACTGAAGTTGTTAGTGGAGACTGTGGCAAGGCTTTGCTGGGGGTGGGGATGCCAGGCAGGCTCCAGTGGTGGCAGTGATGGACCAGGTATGCTGGTTCTTGGGTCCCCAGGAGGTGTATGCAGATACTGGCAGTGGTAGGTTCAGGTGGCTGGGCCTTGGGCCTCCCAGCAGCTTGTTTTAGTGCTGCTGGAGGCAGCAGTGGGCTGGGCAGGTGGGTGGGTCTTCTAGTTCTTGAGTGGCATGTGTGGCATTGGCAGTAGCAGGAGCAACAGTAGGCCAATCTTGGGTCCCCAAGTGGTGTACATGAGTGCCAGTGGTGAAAGCATAGGGCTAGGCAATCCATTGTTCAGGTCCCCAGTTTGTGTGCGTGGGTGGGTGCCAGCAGTGGTAGCAACAGGTTGTTCAGGTCAGTCGCTAGCCCCCAGGAGGCATGCATGGGCAGTAAACAGAGCAGGCTCATTTTCAAGTCCCTGGAGGCCTGTGCAAGCAGTGGTGGGTGGGGCAGGCTTGTCCTCAGGCCCCTGGATGGTCTGCACAGGTGCTGTCTGCGGCAGGTGGGGCAGGTTGATACCCAGGCTCCTAGATTACATGCTTGTGTACCTGCAAGAGTGGCAGTGGCTGTGGAGATAATTTTGTCTTTGCTTGCCTGTTGCAACCGAATTTACAATAAGAAAGTTTAATTCATTTTGCATTATTGCCTAAAGTGTCCAAAGCTCTCTGGTACATAGTACAGATTCCTGAGACTGGCATTAACTGAAGCTTTAGATCCCAGTTCCCAGCCAGGTGCAACCACCAGGCATGCTGCCATAGTCCTTAAAATACATTTCTAATAGTACTCTTAAGGAACAAACAAACAAGCAAACATTAATAATATTACTGTTTTCTTTTTCAGGTCACATATCAGTTGAAAATTCTTACAACAGCATTATTTTCTGTGTCTATGCTTAGTAAAAAATTGGGTGTATACCAGTGGCTGTCTCTAGTAATTTTGATGACAGGAGTTGCTTTTGTGCAGGTAACTATTCAAGATAAGTATATTTTTTTATCTTTATCGTGGTTTCAAACCCTTATTTATTTTGTGTGGAGAATATGGTTCTATTGCTTGTTGAAACCAGCAAATGTTATTCACCACAACTAACATATGTTTTGAGGGCTTCCTTTGTGTGACATACTACATTGGGAGTGTAAGTAATACAGAGGAATTAATCAAAATAAAATTATATTACCTACAGAAATGAACATTCTAATTAGGGAAATAAGACACTGCATTTTAAAGAAATGCAGTTGATTTTTGCTGGATATCTGTAGCATTTGAGATTATTAGCCACTCCCTTTTTATTTTCTATCAGCTTCACGATACCATTTTTTCCTGGTTCTTTTATCTTTCCAATGATTCCTTGTTGGTTTTCTTCATAGGGATCTCTTCTGTGAGACTCCCTTTAAATACTGGGGTTGCTTGCAGGTTTGTTATTTCTTCTAAGGTATACTTTTATTTTTGGAGATTTCATCTATTCTGGGGGGGTGTTAATTTTAATTTTTTTTTTACTTTTAAAAAAATTTATGAGGCGGGTGGATCACGAGGTCAGGAGATCGAGACCATCCTGGCTAACACGGTGAAACCCCGTCTCTACTAAAAAATACAAAAAACTAGCCAGCGAGGTGGCGTGCGCCTGTAGTCCCACCTACTCGGGAGGCTGAGGCAGGAGAATGGCGTGAACCCGGGAGGCGGAGCTTGCAGTGAGCTGAGATCCGGCCACTGTACTCCAGCCTGGGTGACACAGCGAGACTCCGTCTCAAAAAAAAAAAAAAAAATTTATATAGAGACGGGGTCTCACTATGTTTCCCAGGCTAGTCTCAAACTTCTGAGCTGAAGTGATCATTCTGCCTCAGCCTTCCAAAGTGTTAGATGTGAGCCACTGCACTTGATCTTATTATTTATGATGATGATGATTATTTTTAGTCCTCAGTGATACTTGTTCTGATGGAAGGTTTTATTAATACTTATATCCTGATAATTCCTCAGTTCATGTCATCACTTTCCCTGAAGTGTGGTGTTCATATCGTGAATAAATTTTTAATTTTTTTTTTGAGATGGAGTCTCGCTTTGTCCTAGGTTGGAAGGCAGTGGTACAATCTCAGCTCAATGCAGCCTCCACCTCCCGGGTTCAAGCGATTCTCCTGCCTCGGCCTTCCAAGTAGCTGGGATTACAGGTGCCTGCCACCACGCCTGGCTAATTTTTTGTGTTTTTTAGTAGAGATGGGCTTTCACTATGTTGGCCAGGCTGGTCTTGAACTCCTGACCTCGTGATCCACCCGCCTTGGCCTCCTAAAGTGTTGGGATTACAGGCATGAGCCAATGTGCCCAGGCTAATATTTTTAATATTTATTTTAAATGAGTATTACAAAAGTATAAGTGGCATATCAAATTCATATTTTCATAAATATTGCTTAGGGTAAGCTAAAGTAGGCATTGTTTCAAACAGTAAGGTATTTTAAATTAGAAAGTTATTAATAGTTCAGGTGGAACATGAGTTTGACAAAACCATGAAAATGATAGGCAAATAACTGAAGCTTCAGGAACACAGACCTATAGGATAAAGCTCAGAGTGATTAGTGTGACACATTGAACCTTCTGAAATGTACCTACAGTTCCAGACTCATTTCTGCTGCTGCATACTTCACACTCTGAATTGCTACAACTGAGCTGCTTGTAGGGGCTATTTTGCACAGCTGAGCATTTATCCATTCTTTCTCTTGTGCCTACAATGCCTTCTCCCCTTTCTTTGCCTGGCTAACTCCTACCTTTAAGGCTCAGCTGAGGCATAACATCACAGGCATAACATTTATGCCTTCTTCTCTACCACCATAGTACTTTGTACATATCTTTTCCAAAGTACTTATATTATAGGTAAATGCTCATTTGTATGTCTGTTTACCCCTACAACTTAAATTCCTAGAAGGCAGCAGCTGTGTTTCACTGCTCCTTCCATTCATAGTGCCTAATTAGCAAGACTCAAAACACAGTTTAAGATCAGGAAAAACAAATGATATTTGTTTTTACATGATTAGTTGTCAACTGATTTTATAGCCTGTAAGTACAGATGACTCCTGGGAAGTCTTCAAGGATGATATTGGAGTTAAATTAGGTGTTGAAAGGTAATAATTATAATGAAATTTGCATACTGAGTACTTATGTGCCAGGTGCCCCACTTGGTGGTTATCCTTTATAATCTCATGTTATACCCAACTGTTTAAGGTAGATATGTTATTCTTCCCAACTCACAAAGGAGTTATTGAGGCTCAGAGAGGTTAATGAAATTGCTTATGATCCCAATCTAGTAGTGGCAGAGCCAGAACCAAATCTTTTCACTATTTGTGTTTTAGTAGGTTGGAAACAGCAGAAAAAGTATTACATAAAAGGTATGTTAAAAAAAAAATACAGATGTTGATCTGTGGATAAGCACAAGATAAGTTAAGGAGTGATAATAGTCTTCTTTGATTGGAACAAATAATTGACAAAGATATGGTGAGAGATGAACTTACAAAATACAGATTGGTCCTAGATTATATGTGGTCTTCAGTATTGAGCCAGGAGCTTAGGCTTGACTGCTTTTGGCTGTAAGGCCTCACTGGAGAGTTGGAAGGGAGAGAGGCATATCAGAGAACTCCTATAGGCATGCAGGGCAGATTGGTGGGAAGAAAGACTGAAGGAATGGAGAGGAATTAGAAAGCATGACAATGACCTAAACTGTCAGGTTAATGGGATTGGAATGTCCCACAGCAGTGATGTAAGAGTTGTTCCAAGGGAAGAATCAGTATGAGTGTTAGACTAATAAATATCATAGAGAATGGAGAGCAAGGAGATCAAGAAACTTAAGTTTGAATAGTGGCATTTTTAATAGATACAAAGGTATCAAAAGGTATGTTTGCTTTAAAGAGGGATGGGTACATTTTAGTCACATTGGCTTTGAGAAGATAAGTTTCTGGATAGCAGCAACTGAAAATTTTGGACTTGAGCTCAGAAGAGATGCCAGTGCTTCTGTGAATCAGCTCTCCAGGGTAGAGGGGATTCCTATAAATACGCTGTAGCACTACACTGTCCAATAGGGTAGCCACAAGCTATATGTAGCTATTTAAATTTAATTAGTTAAAATTAAATAAAAATTTCAGTTCCTTGGTCACACTACCCACATTTCAAGTTCTCAGTAGCCACTTAAAGATAGTGATAACCCTATTGAGGGTGAAGATACAGAACATTTCCATCATTGAAAGGGTCTGTTGACTAGAATAAATATAAAGATTGGAGAAGAGAACATGGAAAAGAGCAGGTCATTTCAAGAGGTAAGGGGCCGGGCGCGGTGGCTCACGCCTGTAATCCCAGCACTTTGGGAGGCCGAGGCGGGCGGATCACAAGGTCAGGAGATCGAGACCACGGTGAAACCCCGTCTCTACTAAAAATACAAAAAATTAGCAAATAGTTTATTATTTCTACAAGTAGCTAAATCACTTTATGAGATTTTATACGAGTGGTTAACTTATACTAGTCCATATTATATTATCACTGTGAGGCAAAAACACTCAAATATGGTAAGGTTTATGTTAAAGCTCTCCTTTGCAATCCCAAAAACATGCGATAAACTAATGAGTACTCGCATTTTTAAGTTATGGTCTAAGAGTGGCGTCTCATATGTTTATGTAAATGTTATAGGGAATTAACACTGCAATTTTACTTTTCTTCGTTATTTAGTGCCCTCAGATGTCTCAGCTTGACTCTAAGGAACTGTCAGCTGGTTTCGTCAGTTTGTAGGACTCATGCAGTTCTCACAGCATGTATTCTTCAAGTGGCCTTTGCTGGGGTTTACTTTGAGAAAATCTTAAAGAAGAAAAACAATCGAGTTTGGGATAGGAAGTATTCAGCTTAGGTAAGTTTTAAATGGTTTCTCATATTATTTTAAAAAGTGAGTTATATTGTTTATTGTAAAGATGTCTATACATCGTGTTAAGTAACCATGAGCCTGGCATAAAAATCTGCTATCTGATCCAAATATCTGGCAATCGATTCTTGTCTTTTAAAACAATTTTAGTTTAAATGAACACCGTTTACTTTGAAGACTATAAAAAACGTTAGATGCGATGAGCATAGAAGTAGTCGTAGCCCATATCGCCCCCCTTGTCTTCACTATTTGAGAGCCTTAGTAACTTTATCCTTGGTTGCCACTTCTTTCCCAGAAGGTTTTGCAAATAACCTTACATATCTTTTATTCCCTGGAACGCGGATGATTACGATAATTAAGGAAGTTTAGAATATGATGATTTTTTGTCCTCTGTTTTAAGATTTTTTTTTTTTTTTTTTTT